GCCTGCCCTATTTCCAGATATTGGTCAGTTGGCTCTGGGTATTGGCTACCCCTGGGACGTTGAAAACTATGAAGCACACTTTAAAACTAAGCCACCCCAAAGACCCGACCCTGATTTCGGCCTCGCTACTGATTCTCATGGTCGAATAGGGTGTGGCAATTCAGAACGATGAGCAGGACTTAAATTCCAGCCCTTTTATGTCTGCCCAGGCAATCACAGATCCAGACAAGCTCAATATACATGTGGAGGTTCCAGTTCCTTTTATTGTCATTCATGGGGATGTGAGACCACGGGGGATGTATACTGGAAACCTTCGTCTTCGTGGGACTATATTAAAGTCCAATACAATACTCCCATCCCCCAATACAGTGCCGGTCTCTGGCGCACTCTAGTGACCTCCACCTGTAAGAACCAATGGTGCAATACTCTAAAGATTACTTTTACTGAGCCAGGGAAGCGAGCCACAGATTGGGAGCATGGATATTCCTGGGGACTCGCTCTGTATAAAGACGGCTCTGATGATGGACTCACATTCAAAATTAAACTTCTCAAAGAGCCCTTTAATCAACATAAACCTATTCCAATAGGACCTAACCCTGTCTTAATTGCTCCTCCTGTTCCTGCTCCTACCAAACCACCTCCAGCCAAAAATCTTGTTTCTACTACTAATATCTCTTTATCCCCTATATCCTTCAATGCCACTGTCTCTATACCTATGGTCCATGCCCCCCCTCCCCTGGCAAGCCTAAAACATACAAAAAATGTCATATTACAATTGCTTAATGCAACACATCAAGCTATAAATAATTCCCTAGGTAACTGCTGGCTTTGTTTAAATTCTCAACCACCCTTTTATGAGGGAATAGTCATTCCCCTCTCAAAAAATCTTACATATTCAAAAATTCTTACAATTGTCCATGGCCAGAAAAACATTCTAAGGGCCTGACCCTGGCCCGCATTGTAGGACAAGGTACATGCCTGTCCACAGATACCACATCTTCTATGTTGTATCAACCATATTGTAATTCCACTATTATACCCCATAAAAATGCTAGTATAATACAGCCCCACCAAATTCATGATGGGTTTGTAAGGATGGCATTACACCTTGCATATATCTTCAACAATTTTATAAGCATAGTGATTTCTGTCTGCTGATACAACTCATTCCCCGCCTCTCCTACCATACTCCTCAATCCTTTCTAGAAGTTTGGGACCCTCCCACTAACCATCCTCGTTCTAAAAGAGAAGCAGTCTCTGCCCTAACAATTTCAGTCCTTCTAGGTTTAGGTGCGGCAGGTACAGGAACCAGTGTGGCTTCCCTCCTGATCGGCAACT